CCATTTCAGGTGATTGATAGCTGCTGGAAAGCATGAGGGCAGTGACCTTTTATGATTCCTGGCTGAAGTGCCATCACCCTCAATGGGAAGCTGGCCTCTTTTCATAAAAATGTCAAAGTGAGAGCTCTTCTTTAGAACATCAAAAGAGGGATGCATACAGTGGAGTCAAGGTGTGTATGCATGGAGTAGAACTCTACCCATTAATGAACATCAAGTGAAATTAAGTCTTCAGGTTACTCTGGCAGCAGTGTGAGTATGGGTAAAGTTGTATTGTACCAAATTAAAGGGATGATTCTGCCAGGATTGGATTGCATTGTAAAATGTTGAGGGATTCTGAGGATTAAGGAAATGGCCCCAACTTGAAAGGCTACCCTTTCCTGAAAAAAGTTGGTTCTAGCTGGTTTCAACTGAATAGAGTAAGCCCTTTTGGGCAGGTCTGAATAATATCTGGATTAGAAACACCTGAGGGGCCATCTCAGGGAGGAGATTGACATAGTACGCCTTTGTTCGCTACTTATTTGTAACTTGGAGAAGTTTCTAGAGAATCCTGTTCATGTATGGCATCTTAACTTTTCACTGACAGTAGGATTGCATCAGATTTGTAAGAATCAGCTGTGCATGATTTTACCCACAGGTACACACGTGAAACCCTAGAATGGGGGATAAAATTTACAGTTACAATGAGATTACAATGACATGGAAAAGATCTAAAGGTAATTCTTGGTCATGTTGGCTCTTGCTGACTGGTTCTAACTGGAACTCATTTTTACATATTTTATGGTTGGTGGACTTTGCTTCTAATTATCTTGTTTTCCTGACTCTTGGAATATTTGGACTGTGTATAAAGTCACAAAAGCCCTCTTTCAGGGTAACTTGTGCTCTTATCAGCAGAAGAGTCTTTGAATGTGCATTCTCAGCCTTGAGAATAACCCTGAGGATAACAAGGACTGTAATATATCATAGTGACTTGGTCTGGGTAAATTGCTTCTCTTTTTTTTCTTTCATGGTATTAGAGATTGAACCCAGGGGTGTTTTACCACTGAGCTACATCCCCAGTCTTTTTTTTTTTTTGAAACAGGGTCTGTATAAATTGCTTAGGGCCTTGCTCAGGTGCTGAGGCTGGTCTTAAACTTGCAGTCCTCCTGCCTCAGCCTCCCAAGTTACTGGGATTACAGGCATGCACTACTATGCCTCCTTGTAAAATTGCTTCTTAAAAGAAAATATGTGGAAGGCCAGCATGTAGACCCAGTTATAAAATTATCCCCTTATACCACTCATGGTTGACTGATATCTACCAATAATGGAAAACCTAGAATCAGTGGGCTTGGTGGGGACTTTGGATCAGAAATTTTGTAAAATTTTAAGACATATCTTGGGTTATTATGTTAGGTAGATTCATAAATGGTCATCTAAGCCAGCAGTAGCCCTGTTTAATAAATATATATATACACACATGATAAAAGATACATAAACATATGAAGAAAAATATGTAACTTAGTTAAATATATACAAATATATTTATATATATAAAGTGGAAATTTATTAATATAATAAATATGTAACTGTTACTCCCAGAGTGAGGTGTTTCAACCAGCAATGTGGAAGAAAAGTTCAAGAGTACATACATATATGCACAAATGAAAATCAAAAATATATGTGTAAATATTTAAATATCAAAATATACAAAATACATAGATATATAAAAAGAATATAACTATATAAACTAAAAAAGAGTATAAATACCTAAATATATATGTAGAAAACCAAAAGAACCCAGTGAAACACATAATCTATTTTATACTCACATCAATTTTAATTCTGGTCAAAAGCCATTGAACCCTGTCTTCATTTATTGGCAAGGATGGAAGCCAAAAATACTAAGGACATTCTAGACACCAGCTGGTATTGCTCATGACTGATGACAAGCACTCTTTACCAGACATGGTCAAAGTAGTGTCACTCTCAGGAGAGGTACTAGCTTCATTTCTTGAAACAAGGTGAAAAGAGACATTTTGAACATCAAAGAGGGACACATATATTATAATCCAGGTGTGTATGAGTGAAGTAGGGGCTCTCCCAGGTAGGTCTGTCCCACATTTCCACCTCTTTAGGGTTCCTCATCATATAATCCATGTAGCTGATGTCTTTTGCATTGATACCTTAGCGAGGAGGACAGAGCCCTGTATCCACAGGCCCCAAGAGCAGTATAAGCTGTAGTGACATACAACCAGAGAACAAGTACCACTGCCTAGGAAAACTAAAAGTCATTGCCAGGTGGTGCCAAGACTAGCCCACCATTCCTGCAAAGGGTCACCAGTTAGATGTTGTATAGCTGCAACTTCAGAAGCCTTATGTGCTAAAACCACACTAATAGTCATCTGGTGGTCTGTAATATGTACACAACACTCAGTGCCAAGCATGGAACATACTCTTCCCTGTGCTGCTATTAACAGGTCAAGTGCCATGCAATTTTGCAACACAACCTTATATATCTGATACATTTCTTCATTTACTGGGGATGAGGCCTCCAAGGTAGGTATCTGCATCTCAGTCATAGTGGTGTAAAATGTTATATAAAGCATGAACCCTTCCTTCCCTGCTTTGTTTTGCTTCTGGGCCCCTTTCACATTATACACACCCTTCACCTGCCATCTGCTTTCAGCTTCTCGTAGGCTGGCCACCATGGTAGTGACTTCATTAATAGGGCACCTGACATAAGGGGTTAAGATAGCCATCAAAGACCCAAATGTGGCAGATGGTGCATTTGTAAAACCAAGTCCTTCACACCACTAGTAAATCATCATCTGGCCCCTGTGTATTCAAATTGAATATCAGCTGATACATGCCAAGCTCCCACAAAATCTGCACCAGATCAGCATACAATTGCCATTTACTCACAGTTTCTGGAAGCTCACATAAGTCCACGTGGTCCATGCAGTTGCATAAATCCAGTGCATCAGGGAATGATTACCTTTTCCATTGCGATGTCTGCTCTGCAGTTGTTGTCTCAGAGAGGGATGGGTAGTGATAGATGCTAAGTGTTCCATCTCCTTGTGAAGTTGCTTGCCCAGGTCCACTAATTCTGCTTGGGTGTGCGGCTGGTATATAGTATATTTGGTAACACGGGGTGAAGGAGCCCAACTACAGCCAACTTGGGCCTGCCCCATAACCCCAAAACATATTGTGGACAAAATAAGCTGGTTGGTGGAAGAGTACTGGTTGTGTGGGGGCAGGCCCAAGTTGGCTGTAGCTGGCTCTTTTATTAAAACTTTCAGACATGATGAGAATATGAAATCCCCCCTTGCATACAGCAGAATCCAGATGTTTGTGATGAGAGAGAGGTTCTTTGAGGTAAGGAATGGGGATGTGCTTGGGGTAAGATGACTCTTCCATGGACTGATGAATTAGGAATGGACTGAACTGAGAGCTGTGGGGAATTCTGAGGGTTAAGAAAATGATCTCAGAAGCTTAAGTCTACATGTTCCTGAGAAAGCCACTTTTGGCCAATTTAATTTTTCTATAGTCCTAAGGGTCGGGCCTGAATTATGCCTGGATTAGAACCAGTTTCTTGAGGCCCTTCAACTTGTCTAAGATCCCAAGGCAAGGAACTGGTTTGACAACCCCTTCTGACCCACCAATGAGGTTGTAGATAAAAGTTAAAAGGGCACAGGCAGAGTATTGGACCCTATCTCCTAAAGTGATTGGATGATGAATGTAGCCAACCTAGGGCCCAGTTTGTGACACAAATTGGTATGAAAGCCAGGCATGGTTGACACATGCTTGTAATGCAAGGAGCTCAGGAGGCTGAAGCAGGAGGATTACAAGTTTGAGGCCAGCTGATTAGCAAAGGCTCTGAGCAACTTAATAGGACCCTGTCTCCAAATAAAAAAATAAAAAGGGATGGGGATGTGGCTCAATGGTTAAGCTCCCCTGGGTGTAATTCCTGTACCGAAAAAAAAAAAAAAATCTGGTATAAAAGACATGTCCATAGTAGGAATTTAGAGAAACAAGAGGCAATGAGTTTTGATTAAGGGCCATGGACCAGGGACTCTGTGAAATTTTAAGACATCTCTTGAGTAGTCAAACTCTAGGCTAAAAGAATAAATGACCTCAGTCTGGTGTGGTGGTAAATGCCTGTAATCCCAGCCACTCAGTAGGCTGTGGCATGAGGATCATAAGTTTGAGGCCAGCCTCAGCAACTCATGAGATTCTCAATAACTTAATGAGGCCATGTCTCAAAATAAAAAGGGTTGGGGAATGTAGCTCAGTGAGTAAGTCCCCCGGGTTCAATCCCCAGTACCAAAACCAACCAACCAAACAAAAACAAAAACACCAAACAATAACAACAAAACCCTAAAAACCTCTTCATCAAGTAATATCCTTGTTTGAAAAAAATAGATGCATTCACACTCATAAAAATATACTCATATTGAGAGAAATATGTAACAGAGGTAAATATATAAACATATTAATATGTGTACATATATCTATAATTTGTATATTTATTTTTTATGAAAAAATACGTAGATGATCCTGTAAGTGTGGGTTGTCTCTTCAATGATGAAGGAAAAACATAATTGTATACTGAAGTAACACTAAAACTGACTACTTTTGTGTAAATACATATATTTTTATAAGCATATATGCTTTATTTTAACATATAAAACAATAAATGTTTAAATAAAAGTGTATATATGTTAAAAATAAAATTAACACAAAAGAACAAAAGACACACACACACACACACACACACACTTGCACTTATTCCCCAGGGCTGTGGGCAGTATCCTGATTTCCTTGCAATGCTGGGGGCTAAAAGAGTAAGAAATATCCTGCCTGTCAATTACTTGTGGCTTTTAGAAGAAGGGAAACAGCAGCACAGTGCTTTTGTTACAAACTTGGCCCAAGTGCCATCAAATGTACCCATCTTGGAGTTCTTATAGCATATGTGAAATATTTATAGTCAGAGGCTCTTACAGGTGTTAAATCAAACTCTTAAGACTAAGAGGTCTCTGGATATAAAGGGTTTATTGAGTTTTATAGGTGCTAGCCAGAAGGTAAAGGACTGGTTCTGGGACAAGTTCCCTAAGCCACCAGCAGCCTGGCCAGATAGCCAGTGAAAAAATGTCCACCAGACCTAAGGTTAGGGCATAGTGTTTTATAATAAAATTTTGGAATGAGGAAACACAAATAATTTGCACTGAACTTACATTGGCTACAGATAAGAGGGGCGGGACATCACAAAGCAGGCAAAGTACTGGCAGGGTAGTCCATAAAGAGAAAGTTTTGCTACTTTTTGGTTGGTTGTTTCCAAAAGCAGAATACAATGTGGTCTTCAGCATACAGACAAGAAATTTAGAATGTTTCCTTCTTCTTCTTTTTTCTTTGTTGACTGAACTTGAAGTTGAAACTATGAGTTCAATGGACTTCTTTTTCTTCCTTGTATTCTCTGGCCTGTAACTTAAGACATCCCAGAATTCTTATCATTCCCCCTTTTATTGAGGTCTTTCAGAGTAAGCATTGCTGATGGATGCTATATTAATTTTATTGCTTCTTATGTAGCCATTTTATGTTCCAGGTCATATCTCACATGTCTAGGAAGGTTCATTCCTAGGAATTTATATCCAAGGGAGGAGGGAAATTTGTAGATAAAAACAGTGAGTTTTTTTTTGGTCCAAATATGAGTGGTAGAGAGGAAGAGAGAGCAAGCCTCTAACCATTCACCCACAGAATTCTTACATGTTTTCAGAAATAGCTTCTTCAGGAAAGTTATAGGTAGGTAGTTCAATCTTTTGAGCTAGCATAATGTTAGCCTAAAATTCATTCTATTGATTTACATAGTTGGGAAAAATTAAAAGTATAGCATTTAGAGATTATAACAATCAAAAGTAGAAGTATCAAACCATCTATAATATTTTTCTAAACAATCAGTTGATTTCTACTAATAACCAACCAGAAAGATCACTAAACAGATTAAATTCAGGTTCCATGTTAGAGACCTATTTGATCCAGGTGGCTTCTTTTCTAATAGTTTCTAAATGGGTTTCTACTTCATGAGACATATTTATATAGACACAGCAAGATGCATTCATTGCCATACATATGCCTCTTTTTTCTGCTAATATGTAGTCTAGAGCAATTCGGCTGTCTAATTTAAGATTGGGTGAAAAGTCAATAGCTTTTTGCTGTGCTATAATGGAAGCAGCATTCTCTTCAGCAAGTTTGCCTAAGGTAACAGAAAGGTTTCTAATCATCTGCTCACGATTAGTAACTTCCCACTGTGCCAAAAATGCTCTTCCAAAGGAGTAGATGGAGCTACCATCTAAAGTGGCTTGTTTGAATCCAGAGGGAGGTTTGAGGGAACTAGACCAGTGTTGGGTTTCCTCTGCATCGAATATGGATACAGGTGTAAATAGATATCCTAGGAGGCATTGCCCCCTCATAATCCACCCTTTAATGCATCTACGGGCCCATGGGTGGTGATCTCCCCCACAGACAAAAATAAAGCCAGGGGGTGCACATACAAACTTCTCAAAGTTTTGCCTAATTTGTTCTCGTAGATTATTAAGCCATGGGTCAGTAGTAGCACACCCAGGTAAATCTGGACCTTCACCTTTGAGGGATCCTTGATGGTATTTTTCTAAAAGTTTTATTATTGCAGCTTCAGCCTCTTCTATAGTCTTATGGGTAAACTTTGGAGGAAGGATACGAGTGTAAATATAAAAACATGGTAAAGGTTGACTGGAATGTGCTAGACGAACTGGATAGCTGATTATGGGGTTATATCCAACATAGCTATGATGGGTTTGATTGACAATGCACTCAGGAATTAAGCTAAAGTTTAGAACAGGTTGTACGAGTAGACTGTTATGTTCACGAGTGGTACGAGGGTTGGGGTAGCATATCCAACATTTTGTTAAATTTCCAGAAGTTGCTAGAGACTGTGAAATTCTGACTAAGGCATTGTCTTTCCATGCCTGGGTAAAGGTGACAAATATAACTATATATATAAATGTTTTCATTATTATTTTTAGAGACTATAGTGAGAATAAAAGCTTGAAATAGATAATTTAAAACACAAGGAATCTGTTCAGCTTTGTGTAACACAATCAAAATTAAAAGTATTCCCAGGAACAAAATTACTATAGCAACTATTAAAAAAACATAAGGATGTATAGGAAGATTTTAGTAGTTTAAGGTTTGCACAGGCCTGTTCCAGATGCTTAGGCAGAAGTAGTCAACCTCAAAATGTCAGTTATTATTATTTTTTCCTGGTCAGACGAAGCTTGATGTTGGCAATGGGGTGCTAGACCATTCAAGTGGGTTTAGATCTTCTTAAGTGGAAACGTGGATCTAGGAGTTAATTTCCTTGAGTTTGGCTGCACAGGGATTCACAGAATGTGCCTAGAAAGGACCTTGCCAGCAGGATGGTAAAGAATTTTGACAAAGATGTCTTTTCCAGTATACAAAATCAGCAGGCTGGTTTCTGAGGTAGCAAGTCACTCCCCTTGCTGCTGTAAAAAAAAAGATTGTTTTATGAAAGAGTAATTTTCATTAACAACCTTAATAAGCTCTCGGCAATATGTAAGAATTCTCCCTTTAGTAGCTAAAGAGTCTAGGGGCACAAAGAAAAGTAGTATAGGCCTTCCTGTTATCATTCCCCAAAGGCAAAGTCTATGCTTCCCAAATGGGGTAGATCTTCAATTCAAAAAAATTGTAGGTCAGGCTTTTTAAAAAAGATTTCCACAAATTTAGCTGAGTTTTAATAATTTTGTTTAACCTTTGTACCAGTTCAGAGGACTGGGGGTGGTATGCAGAATGAAAATGTTGTAATATTGACCACATAGCACACAGTTATTGGACAATTTGTCTCACAAAGACCTGTCAGTGTGTGGTCCAGAAGGAGTTCCCCAGGTTGATATGGTCTTTTCTATTAGTACTTTAGCCAGAGAGGTGGCAGTAGCATGGTGGACAGGGAAAGTTTCCACCCAGTGAAAAAACCTGCAAACCATACCGACAGCTATACAGAGAGACAGCTGTATGAAACCTATTTGCTATACTTAAAAAGGATTTGTTGGTAATTTAAATCTCTTTAGCTGGGTTTTGGTAGGTTTGAATTGTACTTTGGAAATGTGGGGCATCTAGGACATGCAGAGATAGCAGAATGTTGTTGGCTTCACCAAATATTGTTTGGCAAATTCTTTTTTTAAAATTTATTGGTCCACAATAGTTGTACATGACATTAGAATTTATTTTGACATAATTATAAATACATGGAGTATTGTCTGCTCCAATTAAGTCCCCAATGCTTACTTACTTCCCTTTCTATACTCTGCTGTTCCCTTTCCTCTACTCTACAGGTATTCCTATTAATTTACATTTTTTAAAACTAGTGTTTGTGGATATACATAATGGTGAGGTCTACTGTAGTAAATTCACATATGTATATTGGAAAGTTAGGCAAATTTGAACATCTTCTTTGTGGACCAAAGAGCTGGGTCATATATAGTTTGGCATATTCTTTTCATCATGGAACCAGGTAATATAGGAAGTTTTTAAGGTGCATACCAAAGGTTTTTTGGAGTCCATAAAACCTCCAAGGTTTTCCAAAAATTCTCTCATCATCAGAGGCACTAAACTAAAGCCTAGGTATAAACTCCAGGAAATCTTCATTATATACAGTGGTTTCTAATGCTCCTGGGGAGTAGTGTAAGGGCAAGGATTTTAATCTCAACAGTGTCAGTATTTTGAGCTTCCTTTTGCATGGCAACATCAGCTAATTGATTTCCTTCAGCATATTCATTTCTAATTTAGAATATCTATTGAGCTTGATGATAGTCAAGTTATTGGGAAACAAAATAACATCCAGTAGTTCCAATACAAAAGTACTGTTCTCAACCTCCTTAAGCAGTGATAAGTCCTCTTTGTTTCTATAACATTCCAAAATCAAGGGCCATGTCAAATGGATAATGAGAATCTGCATAAATATTGGCTATCAGTTCTTTAGCTCATGTATAGTCCTGTGTTAAGGCATGAAGCTCTGGATTGTTGGGTCGAGGTGAAATGTGATAAGTGGCCTCAAGAATTTCAAATGGAATAGTTATTGCATAACCAGTAGTGTATTTCTGATTTTCACATTTAAAATATGAATTTAAATTGTGCCAAAACCCATCAGAATTAGGTATTATAGTTTCCTTTAAATCTTTCCTAGGAGGTGAAAGAGTGACACAGTTAATAAGATGCAGTCATGAGGGTTTTGTCTAGTTCTGTGGGTAATAAAGTTACTGGATTGAGTATATGACATCTTATTATGACGAAGTAGGCTGCTAAAAGAAGGGTTATCTCATACAAAGTCAACTTGCTGGCAGATAGAGGCTGTGATATGAAGCAAACAAGGCTTCTATTGCATGGGAAACATAAATAAAGGGGTGTCTGCATCTCTGTCTTCAGCGACTTACTAAAAGAACAGTAGCAGGAATTGCTCATAAGCAAAGAGGCATTCCCTGCACTACACAGCCTAGCAGTGGACTGTAATATCCCAAAGCATATGCATTTCTCCACGTTTCTATGTAAGCACTCTGAAAGCAATGCCTTTCCATTTGTGCCCAAATAAATGAAAAGACAGATCATAGTTTGGATGGCCTAAGGCTGATGGGTTGCTCAAAGAAATCTTTTAACCCAAAGATGTTCTATTGATCACAGTAAAGGTTCTGGTATATAAGCATGTATCACTTCATGTAATGGCTGAGCAATCAAAGAAAAATTAGGAGTTTGATTTTGACAGTATTCTGTCAGTCTGCCAAATCCTGTCAATCATCTTTGAGTAGTTGGTCTAGGATATTTTTGTATGTGTGCCAAACTATTATCATTCAATTTGAGTCTTCAGAAGATATGATATGTTCTAGATATTTAATAGACTCACCAACAAACTGCAGTTTTTCCTTAGATACCTTTATGTCTCCTTTGCTGTCCAGAGTTTGGAGCAGTTTCTTAGCCGTCTGTCCTGAAGGACTGACAAGGAAGGAGCATAGAGTAGTAGGTCATCAGCATATGGTAATAAAGCTGTCTCCTCAGAGAAAGCTAAATTAAACTGCAGTTTTTCCTTAGATACCTTTATGTCTCCTTTGCTGTCCAGAATTTGGAGCAGTTTCTTAGCCGTCTGTCTTGAAGGACTGAAAAGGAAGGAGCATAGAGTAGTAGGTCATCAGCATATGGTAATAAAACTGTCTCCTCAGAGAAAGCTAAATTGCTCAAATCTCGTTTTAAAGTCTGTGAATATGTTGAGCTTTCAGTATATCCCCAAGTCATTATAGTCCAGGTGAATTGAAGACTATTTCAAGTAAAAGCAAATAAAAACTGACTTTCTAGATCTACAGGGATATTAAATAATGCACTGCATCAATCAGTTACTGTAAAGAATCTACTTTCTGGTGGAATACCAGCATGAATATCCACATTCAGTATGTGGACTGAATGCCTTGGGGTTGCTACTTGATTTATAGCTTGCAGTCTTGAACAGAACTCTATTATGTGTGTGTGTTTGGTACTGGGGACTGAACCACGGTCACTTAACCATTGAGTTACATCTCCAACCCTTTTTATTTTTTTGACAGATCCTTGCTAAATTGCTAAGGCTGGCTTTGAATTTGTAACCCTCTTGCCACAGCCTCCTTGGAATTACAGGTGTGCACCATGACACCCAACTATTATGTGGTTTTCTGAACAGGCAATATTAGAATGCTCTAAGGATTCATAAAGGAATGATTAATCTCTTCCTAATACATTCTTCAATTAGTTGTATTCCTTCCATTGCATGCTCACTGAAAGAATATTGATTAATTTGAGGTTAAGGTTTAGATATATCAATGGTGATTTTTATGTGGGTGGCACTGTAAATTCTTCTGATGTTAATCCTGCAAAAAGTCCATAAAGCTTCAGGAAGGTCTCTAAGCTATGGAAAAGATTGGTTATCAGCTAGATACTTTGTATTAATTTCGAGAGAAAAGAGAAAGTTACCATTCTCATTATGTTCCCTGTTGTTTACACCAGAGGAGATATAATCTAATGTTATAGTTCATTCTTAGGAAAATAAAAAATTACAGAATTATGCTTTTGGAGAAAATATCTGCCTATATTTACGTATAGAAGAGGGATTGATCAGAAAGCAATGAATGGGTCAACATCTCTAAGAAAAATTTACAGGCTTGAAAAGAAATAATGAGAGAAAATCTAAGTCCATTTTACTTTAATTTCTTTAGTACTCTGGAAGGAGGGACTGCTGGATCTGACCAGGGCTTAAGGTAGAGAGGGTGGTGCCCCACTGTCTGTTAAGATGGGATAAAGGTCAGGTTCCATCTGAATAGACGTTTTCCCCAAAGAATTTAAAGGAAGAAAAGGATTCAGCTGCTATGTTTCTTGAGTCCTGTCAGATTTCACCTTTGAGGATTTTGGTGCCAATGTGTTTAGGATGTCTCTTTTGAATTATTTTTAGTTTTAGTCCATTTCTCAATATCCAGGTTTCTTATAGTAATGACAGACTATTCAGGTTTGTTTTCAGATTAATAATTGGCTTTTGCCTATAATTGCTGCAGCTGTAAATTCAATTGTGATTAGCCTTCTTCTCTCTGACTTCATTAAAAGTTTTGGTTAAATAATCAGCCTGGGCTACTAGTTGGACAGGGGGATATACTTTCGGTCAATTTTGGCCCTTTTAGATACAGTAGATAGTTCCTTGTTTAGTCCATTAAGAAAAACCTGAATTTAAGACAGTTTTAGTTGTTTTGGAATTATTAAGGCAAACCAGAAGTCTTCTGGAAAAAGTGACAGAGTTGTTTGAAGTCATCATAAATAGATTTTTTTTAGAGAATCTTAAATTCTGGACCAAACTACAGGTTTGAGACAATCTTGAGAAATATTTCCAAAGCAGTTTGGCAATGTACTTAGCTTTGTCAAAAGAAGGGACCACATTATTTGTGTCCCTAGGAAAACTTCAGGGTTTTTCCAGTCTGCAAGTTGCATCCAAAGCTGTCCCTCTCCCATCTGTACTAGACACCGACTGTTATAAATCATGCTACTCTGTCTTATAGGGAGCATATAAGTATCTGGGATTTTTTTTTTTGGCCTTAACCCTTAATTCTGCTTTCTACCAGACAATATAAGTTGTGGATTTTTTTCTTTTTATTTTGGGTTGGGGGAGACCAGTCCCATGTTCAACCTGGGCTGGTTCATAATCTATTTTCTGTTAACCCTGGGATGGATCATGATTGAGAACAGTGGATGCTCAAGTAGCAGCAGCACCCACATGTTTCTGGTCTTCTGAGTCTTTTTAGGCCTAACAGCTATTTTTTCTTTCATGTTCACCAATTGCTCCAGCAGCTGTTTTTTTTTTCTCCCATTGGGAGGGGTTCTGAAGAAGTTACCACTGATATTTGTATTTTTATTTTAAATAGATTCATTAAAATAGGTTCTGAGGGGCTGGCAGGGGGACTGGGAAGGTAAAGGAAGAGAAGGGGAGGGAAGGTGCTCCAACGTAGACAGAAAAGTTGGATAAATAGGTTTGGTGGGTGGGTGGGAGAGTACCTGGCAGAATCTCTTGAGTTTTCCATCCTTCCCACCACTGTTTTAATTTATTACAAGTCTCAGTTATTTAAGAAGGAGAATTTTGTAAGGAGCAAATTTAGAGTCTGGAGATTACGACTAGGTTTAGCACCAGTTTAACTTCCCAACTAATGGCTTTCTTTGCTTGTTTTCTAATTTGCCACCAAAAAAAAAAAAAATAACCAAAAGTTATTCTCAGATCAGAAGTGACACATTCAGGCAATTGCAAAGATATTATCTTTCTTTGTACTTTACAAGAGTTTCTCTCAGTCAATCAAAACCTGGGAATGGGTGTGTCTTGCAGAGATGTACTGCTTATGAGAACCGCTCCCCATGGTGTCACCACTGGGCGGTTGGTCACTCTTTTATGTGTCTCAGATGCTCTATACCCCAGGTATGTCAGGGTGTTCCAGATTCTGGAAAGATCAATCCATTATTTTGCTGATCAGGAGTATTCCTTCTAACCCAGGGAGGGGGTATGTTCTTCCATTGGGGTCCCTGGGAGAGTGCTACACATTAGGGACAATTAGTCCTGACACTTTTGAAAGATTTACAGTCACCTGGAAATTTCCTAATGGATATTGGAAGGAGAAATATCTCTTTTCTTTGGGATGGGACTTTTCATTCATCCTCATTTAATAGTAAAATAGCTAATGGCTTTGATCAGTCAGAATAATGCCAAATCCAAACCAAATTGTAATTACATGAATGGCCAGAAGATGTCACTGTGGGCTAAAAGTATTTAAAGCAGACACTACACAGCTGGAAAGAAACAGGTCAAGCAAATTGTTAAACAAATTCAACAAATCATAATATCAGATATATTATGAGAATAACTCAACAAATCATAATACCACGTCTAGGGGAATTTCCACAATAACTCAACAAATCATAATACCAGATAGAGGAGCATCCTCCAATAACTCACCAGCTCCAGTTTGGCAACTCTGCACAGATGACAACTCTGTTGCAAAGTTCCCACTGCCACTGAAGACCTCAACAGCAGAAACCCAGGGACAGCCTATTAAATTGGTATATTTCAAATGTGGAACCTTAGTTCTAAGACTTCAAAAGCCTCCTGGAAAGGCACTCACCTTACCTCTGGTAGTCTCAAAGTGATTCTTGATGTCGTATTTGGACCCAAGGAAAAATATCTTTCTTCCTTATTCTTCAGATGGCTGGATCCCAATGCTGCACCAATAAGGTTAGATCAAATCTTGAGACTAAGAGGTCTCTGAAAATAAAGTGTTTGTTGAGCCGTATAGATGCTCCAGAAGATGAAGAACTGATCCTGGGACAAATTCCCTAAGCCACCAGCAGCATGGCCAGAGAGCCAGGGGAAAAATGTCCACCAGACTTAAGGGGCCAGGGTGTTTTATCATGAAAATCCAGGGAGAAGAAATAAATCATTTACACTGAGCTTACATTGGCTATAGATAAGAGGGGTGGGACGACAAAGCAGGAGAGTGCTGGGATAGGAGGTTAGTCCATAAAGAGAAGGTTTTGCTACTTCTTGGTTTGTTGGTTTCAAAAGCAGAATGTGATGTGGCCTTGTTGGGTAATCTTCAGCATACATGCAAGGAATGTGGAGCAGTTTTTTTCTTTGTTGACTTAGCTTGAAATGCTGAGTTAAATCGGCCTTCTCTTATCTCTTCCCTCCCTCCATTCTCTGGCCTTTTAGTTTACTCCATTTCTCTTATCACAGGTAAGGAAGATCTGCTAGGCCTCACCCTTCTGGTGACTATAGCCGTGATAGCAATATGTTAGTACATTCTGGCCCTCCTTAAAGGAATTTGTAAAGTAGAAACAGACTGAACCCAGGGCTGTAGTGAGAATAACCTTAGGACCTGAGTGCTGTTTCCTTCAGCTCATACAGTTCAAAGCAAGCCACTTTAGGCCCACTCTGATTGGATTTACAGCCCTTCTAGTCAGTTCTGATTAATGCTTGGACTGGAAATACCCAGGGAGCCAGATCCTAAGGCCCTTCTGCCTGTTGGAGAACCCAAGGCAGGGCAATGTTTTGATAACCTCTTCTGACAACCACAGAGGTTGCAGACAAATGTAGGAAAGTCAGAATCAGTGAAAAGATTCTACTTTGTGGGTTTGATGATATACATAATCTAACTTAGGGGCAACCTTGCAGGGCAAACCTGATCTTAAAGACCTATTGGGTAGGGGATTATGTATGCACTTGTACAAAGCAAGAGCTAAGCTAAAGGAACAACAAGTGACAATCAGTCCAGAGTGGGAACCTTAGACCAGGAACTCTATGGGATATCAAGACATCTCTTGGGGAGTCAATTGTACTCTGAGGAATAAATGGCCACCTCAGATAGTAGTTTTCTTCATTGAAAAAAAAATATATATATGTTGCATACAAAAATATATTTATGAATATATAGGGAGGGATTTGTAACACAGTTAAATATACACATAAACATATTAACATGTAAGATATTTATTCATATAAATATGTAGGTGTCCCTGACAATGTGGGGTTTTTCCCTAGACACTGAAAGGAATACTTTCAGCTTTTTCACTCTGTGACTAAAAGAACTGACAAGAACAATTTTAAGGAGGAAAAGTTTATTTGAGGGCTCACCGTTTCAGAAGTCTCAGTCCATGACCAGCTCTAGTCCTCAGAGCTTGAGGTGAGGCAGAACATCATGGTGGAAGAGTGTGGCAGAAGGAAGAAGCTCACATGATGATCAGAAAGCAGAGAGAGACTCTACCCCCAAATGCAAAATATATACCCCAAAAGTATGCCCCCAATGACCTACCTTCTCCAGCTACACCCTACCCACCTTAAATTATCACCCAGTTAATCCCATCAGGGGATTAATTTACTGATTGGGTTAAGACCCCCATAACCCAATCATTTCTCCTCTAAACCTCTTGCATTGTCTCACACATGAGCTTTTGAGGGACTCCTCACTTCCAAACCTTAACAAATTATATATATACACACACACATACACAATCACAAATAAACAAAATTTATAGACATATAAATAAGAATATACATAGACAAATAAGAATATATATAGATAAATATATTTAAAAATCCTGAAAAACAAAAAATATCCTATCTCATACGTACATACACACAAAACTGCATTTACACTGAAGCAATGGTTGGAATGAGTCTCTCCCAAGTGAGGAAGAGTGGCTTTGCACCAGCACTCATTTTGCTGTGGCAGCAGTGGTAATATGCTTGGAACTGGATGGCCTAAAGGGATTGGCTAAGAAGGATTGGATTGAACTGAGAGCTGTTGGAGAATTCTGAGAACTAAAGAAATGACCTCAGAAGCTGAAGACTACGTATTTTGGCACAAGCCAATTTTGTTCAGTTCTAATGAAATCTAGAAGGCTCCTGGACAGGAATAATACCTGCATAGAAAACACCTGGGGAACAAGGTATATGAGGACCATCTACTTGAGGAGGAAACCCAGGAGAGAGAACTAGCTTAATAACCCAATCGGACCAGGTAATCATGTATCAGAGAAAAAGAAGCAGATTAGATACAGTGGATGGTGGTTGGATAGTGTGTAGTCAAATTAGGACTAGGCTGCGGAGGATATCCTCTCTGAAAGACCCAGTCAATTGTGGATTTGAAATGCACATGTCCAGATTAGGAGCAAAGAGAGCACAAAGAGGCAATGCAAGTGTTTGGAGATTTTGGATCAGCAGCTGTGGGAGATTTTGAGTCATCTGTTTTAGTTAGTGTTAGACTCAGTCTTAGATGGCTACCTAAGCCAGTAATAGCCCTGTTTTATAAGCATTTGTATAAGCGCACACACAGAAACCATTCATAAATACATTGAGAAAAATACATAACATACTTAAATTTATACAGAAACATATCAATGTATATATATAAAATGTAGGAATTTATAATATTTATATTTATTTTGTACCTGCATATGGCAGATTTGGGAGTCATACCAGACATTGATGAAGAAAAGATATATATGCACACACAAATACAAACAAATGCATATTATGTATATTAAGTATATTCTATGTAAATTTTAATTTACATATAGATAATTACATAGATAAATATAGATAGAATATACATAAATATACGTGTAAAAAATTCACACGTATCCAGGTGCAATGGTGTGTGTTTATAGTTCCAGCTACTAGAGAGACTGAGATAGGAGGATCACTTGAGCCTAGGAGTTTGAGGCCAGTCTGGACAACAGAGCAATACCTCATCTCTAAATAAATAAACAAACCCAGTGCAATGAAACAAATGGTATTATGTAAGTATGCTTGGTCTAATGGCACTCTCCTAATCTACTGGCAATGCCGGAAGCTGCAAAGCCAATGAATTTACTGACTGCCAATTCCTTGTGGATGTTAGCTGAAGGGAAGCAGCTGGGAAGTATCCTTTGGACAAATCTAGCTGAAGTGCTATTATCTTCAGTGGAACTTTGCCGCAGCCTGGCTGGGCACAAATGCCGCAGTCTGGCTGGGCACACAATCACGAGCCACCACACAGCTTGTAGATTCAAACAGCAACTCTTTATTCCCGAACTCACACCAGCCGTCTACAATCACGTTCTGGGGAAATCCACGTTCTCTGCCCAAATCCACGTTCTCTGGGCTTCTATCTCCAAAATATACTGTCTGAATCCCGTGAGAACTCAAGGGGAACTCAGGCAGCAGGATACGCCCTATTCCCAGCAGGAATAATCTTAAACCTTAAACCTGGAACCTAAACTGGGAACGCCCTAAACACGATTATCTTAAACTGGGAACACCCTAATCCGCCTTGGTCCTTGAGCAAGGTCACCTACATTCAATGTCACTGCAACATGGGGTACGCTGGCAAGGAAATTGTCATACCTACTTGGCTAATGGCTCCCAGCATCACTTGTTTTCTTAAAACATTTAAACAGGATGAGGGCACTTGTTTTGAAACCCTGTGGAAGTGCATGCAATAGAATCCAGGTGTTGGTGGTTGGAATGGGCCTCTCTCCCAGGTAAGGGCCTCTCTCCCAGATTAGCTGTGTTTTAGCCCTTATTTTTCCGTGGCTATGATAGCAATGTGATTGGGATAAGGGCCTCTCTCCCAGATTAGCTGTGTTTAGCCCTTATTTTTCCGTGGCTATGATAGCAATGTGATTGGGATAAGTTGGCCCTCAGTAGAGGAAAGGGAATGCCAGAAGCAATAGGTCAAGGTAGGGTTCTTGGACCAGGAGTGCGGTAAGATTTTAAAACATCTTTTGGATACTCAATTATAGGAATAAGTGGTCACTGCAGGTAGTAAGAGCCTAGTTTGAAAAATATTTGTATATGTATGCACATGTGCTAAAAATATACTCATAAATATATTTCTAGGAATATGTAATATATAAATACATACACAGAAATATTAATGTGTTTAACAGTAAAATATTGAAGTTTATTCATATAAATATGTAGGCTTACAGTGTGATGTGCTTCAGCATTGTTGAAGACAAATGCTCATATGTACATATGCATATAGGAATACATATAATATTTATAATTAAATACAGTGATCTGATAATATGTATAGGTGTATACATAAGAATACACATACCTAAATATATGCTAAATATAAACATAACAAAATGAAACACATATTATCTCATACACACACACAAACTTGCGTTTATGCTTGGGCTAATGGGCACCATTCTCAACTGTTTGCAGTGCTTTGAACATAACAGCCAAGGAATTTCCTGGCTGCCAGTTATTTCCAGCCTTTGGCTTATGGGAAACAGCAGGGAACTTCCCTTTTCACAAACCTAGCCAAAATGCCATCACCCTAATTGGGAGCTGGTTCTTTTCTTGCAACTATGGAAGAAGTGAGTTCACTTCTTAAAGAACACGCAATAGGGGCACATACAGTAAAGTCCAGGTATTTGTGTTTGGAGTGGGGATCTCCCAGGAGATGAAGATGAATTGACATCTGCAAAAATAGTAAAACAGTTGGGGTAATATGGCCCTGGGCATTGTCAAGAAGGACTGAACTGAGTGAGAGTCCTTGGAGAATTCTAAAGGCTAAGGAAATGACTCCAGAAACAGAAGGCCACACATACCTGAGCATGTCAGTTTTTGTCAGCTCTAACTGGATCTATATCCTAAATATGTCAGGTGTGAGTAATGTCTGCATGCCTGGGGAGCCAGGTGCCTGAGACCTTTCTACCTGGAGGAAAATCCAAGAGGGGAATGTTTCAATGATGCCTTGTGAACAGGGAAAGAGGTCGCAGAAAAAAAGAAGCATGTCAGAGATGGAGTATTGAGCCCTCTTTCCCCAGGTTCTTGGATGAGTGCAGCCAAATTAGGCCCCCTCTTGTGAGGACCTGATGTTTAAGACGTAAAACACATTTATATGCACACACATACACACACACACATACTCATAATATAAATTTATTCACATAAATGTGTAGAGACTACTTCCTGTGTGAGGTGCTTCACCAATGTGTAAGAAAAAACTTTAATACACACACACACACACACACATACACATTAACACACAAGCACAAATAAAGAGAAGT